TTATATTTTATTATTTGATATGATTTTGAAAAAATCGAAAGTGTCATTTATCCTTGATGCAATTAAAATTCTCTAAATATATAAGTGAAGGAATCATACTTGGTATTTTATATATATATTATTAAATTGGTCCAGATCAAACGTAATTTAATTGATTATCGAACCGAACGTCACATCCATCGATAATTGAGCGGTCATAGTAAATGGACGGTTATTAATGAGCTTTAATCCTATCTATTTTAGTTCGCCAATTACCTTATACTTTTTCATTGAAATACAATTTTTCATTAAAATATGTCTTTTGTTAATATAAAATTGAAATAGGACGATAAAAATTGTATTATTATTTCTCGAGACCTAATTTCGTCCTTATGAGAGAAACCGTCTATACGTACCTCTATAAAAAAAAAGGTCGATTGGACTTATGACTCGCAAGTTATAGTAAATGGGGTCGTGAAAAGTTACACGTGTCTTTCTCTTGTTGTTCTTTTTCTCTAATTTATATTCTTACTCTTTTATTTTCACTTCTACGTTTACTTCTCCTTCTACTTCTACTTCTATTTCTACTTTTACTTCTACTTCTACTACTTCGATGTCTTTTTCTTCTTCTTCTTCTTCTTCTTCATACTAAGAGACCTTGGCCTGATTTTGTATCCACGAATTTAGTAAAAGAAGAAGAAGAAGAAGGCTTTCTATAATAGTTTTTTATTTCATAACGTTTTCTTATATGACTCTTTTTTAGTTATAGTAAATTGTATGATCTTCGTTAGTTACGTAAAAAAGTTTTACGTGTCGTTTCACCGGATAGCGGTCGAAGAATTATACAACGACTAATTTGACGTTTATTTTATCTAATGACAAGTATATAATAAAAGAAAAGAGAAAGAAACTAAGTTAGAAGGGGTGGAAAAAAAGGGAATGAGAGAATCGAAGAAAAGAGGAGTTAACGAACGACTTTTCCAGCTCCTCTATTACTGGCTCCATTAGAGGCGTACTTTCGAACGGTCGTAGAGCTCTTAAGCGACCCGCTATATGCAACTATTAAAAAGATATAATTAGAACTACTGGATATACCTTTGTGCTACACCGACAATGTGTCACAAACTGCTTGTCTTTAAGTACCAGGATGCATTCTTATTATAAAATGCATTATACATTTCTGCTAAGGTATCTTCTCTATTATTGAAGTACTCATTAAACTTATAAAGTTTATTCCCCTTTTTTATTAGTTATCATATAAAATTTCATAGGAAATCCTAATTAATTAGTGTACTCGTATAATAAGTATACAGAGGAGTCATCTTTAATTGAATTATCTAAGTTAACCTCTTAATTGCGCGTGGTCATGAATGATAAAGTTATTAATATTTAACGTAGTTTTATGCACGATGTAAAATACTTGTAACGAATTAGATTTTCATGAAATTTTGTCAAACATTTATAATAACGTAATTTTCATATTATTTTTCTTTTAATATTTACTTAATAACCGCAATATAGATAATAATTTTGTTTTACGAATTTGTAAAAAACAAAAAAAATGATAATTTTTTAATTCAAATGTTAAAATATCTTTGAGAAGGTTATAAATTAATATTTATAATTTTATTTAATGTCGAATGTGTATATCTTAAATAACTTATATGACAGTCCCTATTGCTTCTTAATTGACGAGCGAATTTCTTTTAAAGAAAAATAAAAGTATTGGAAACGATTGAAACTCATCGAACTCGTTCAAATTTGGCGCCATGTAAGTCTTCAATGGTGTGCAGTTCTTGCGATGAAATCAAAAGGTCCTTTATCCTTGATAGATCCTGCCTCTTTACAATAGTCATCGTTAGCGGGGCTCGTCAATCATCGTGCGTCGACGTTTTGCATTTTGTGTATCGATCGAAAGATGTTTTAGCTCTGCGTAATAAGAAATGTAAATGCGTATATACTACTTGAGACGATCGTAAAACGTTTGCCTCATAATCCTTGAATGTATGGAAAAAGGCGTGAAAGTGGAGAGATAAAATTAATCTGTGATTATATATTCTATAAAAAAAAATAACATTAGTAATACGATCACGGTTTATATTCAAATGATATTATATATATATATATATATATATATATATATATAATTTAAATAATAATTTAATTATATAATTTAATAATTAAAATCTATTATACCTATATGATATAAATTAATAAATAATTGTTTAACTTTGACTATAATAGTTTCTCTAATATCATTCTAATACCATAAATATTTCTTTAAAAGTTCTATCTTATAGATGAGAGAAGTTAGCAAATAGAAAGGAATAGAGAGAAAAAGGAATTTATGTTAGTAAGTACATATATATATATATGTATATGTATAAAATTATGTCATACATCCAGATAGCTCGCATATACATATATATAAGTACACATATACATCAAGACGGTCATCAAATACTAACTTTGGACAGCTTGCGTCATCACTTGCGATAGCTGCTAGGGAATGAGGTGGTATGTGCTGTTCGATCATGAATGAATGCGTGAAAGAGAGTGTGAGTTGAAGCAGGAGAGAAAGAGAGAGTGTGTGTGTGCGTGCGCGCGCGCTCACGAGCACGGCCACGCGTGTAGGATCGACAGGCCGGCATTTAAATACAATTTAAAGTGAACATAGCCGAAACGGGTTGCGGAGGTCGCGTTTTAACCGTGAACGAGCGTGAGAACGATTCTCAGCTCTCGCCTTACTATTCCGTCCTTCGTTGACTCTTTTCGTGCCCTTTCGCCTGCCCTTTAGCCATTCGAACGTATGTTCCCCTTATGATTCTATTTTATGTTTGAATCAAATATATTTGAGGTTAGACTTTTTACATTTTTTGTTTCTAATAAATGAAATTAGAAATGCTTACCATATTTTTCTATTTTTAATTTTGTTAAATTGCGAATAAAAATATAAACATTGTTTTCTTCGTTATAATGTTATATATTAGAAGATAAGAAAATCAATCGTAAATTATTTCGATTTCAATAATATCGGCGTTGTAAATGTTTCAAATGGTCAAACGAGAAAGTATCCTTCAACAATTTTGCTATTCAAATATGTAAACAATTAAACATCGATTTCTTTTTTGAAACTTCAAACTCTAATCCTTTAAATTACTTCTTCTGAAACTCTTTATTTCAACGGTTTTTTTTGTCATTGAAATTTTGTCAATCTTTTTCCATCGGCAATAATTTTAAATCTATAATTGAAATGAGTGAATAATGGATTGTTGAGTAATGGGTCAACTGTTAATGTTATTAACGTATCAATGATAAAAACACGGGGTAGATACTTTGCAGATATTTTAATCGTACAATCTTGATATTTATTCCTCGAAGCAATGAACCCTTCGTTTTTTGTTTGTTCACAAATTGGAATTAAGTCATGTGACATAACGACACGGCGGATGTCGTTTATACATAGTAATTCCTTTTTTAGAATTCTGCCCGTAGAACATCAAGATCGCACAGCTATAAATATCAAGCCCGCGTTAACGAGGAATGCGGCAGTGTCCTCTGTATATAATGAGAGAGATAGAGATAGAAAGAGAGAAAGAGGAAAAAGAAAGAAAGAGAAAGAGAGAAGAAAGAGAGAAAGAAAAAAAAAACTAAATATAGAACGGTATTTATCCTAAGCATGATTCTGCTAACTTTTAGATACACATAAACGCGACACACGCGTGCAAACTCGCTTTCTATGCTTTGTTTGCACGCTTTGCGTTTGTATTTGACGAAAGCCTTCGCTTCCAGCTCACTTTCTAACGTTCTTTCGTCTTACTCGTACACTCTAGGACGTTCTGTCACGATCCGTTTGAAATAGTTTAGCGATTGAACACCATGACACAAACGATTTTTCGATCGATGATGGTTCTCTACTTTTAGTAGTAGTAGTCGAATTCTGACATCGTAGAAAATCTTCTTTATATTCGCAATTCGACGAAGTGATGTTGATAGTTTTTGGTGGTAACAAATAAAACGGATTTGTAAATCTAAGCACGCTGGAGTGATGTATCGCTTGTGTAAAATTTACACATATATATATATATATATATATATACTCGCACATATTTACACATTTACAACTTCTTCGATCGACGACACGCTCGACCGAGCAGGAATTTTACACTTGACAATTTCGAGGACACGTTTCTAACGTGCCTTTGCTATTAGCAAGGTCGTATAGCTTAGAGAGATAATTGTAAAACTCTTTGAAAACCATCGAGGCCGTTAGTTTTCTTTTCTCTTCTAATACTTATTTTTTTCTTTTTTTCGTTTTTTTTTCTTTCTTTCTTTTTTTTATTCTTTTATTTATTTTTTAGAGAAGAGTAAGAAAAAAGCAGAAATGACCATCTAAATATATCTTCACTGTCATATACATTTGTAATTGATATAGAGGGTACTTTTCTTAAATAATGTTGTTATATCATTGCTGCTTGAGTCATGTTTGTTATCGATATCGTTGTTAAACATCTCTATTTTATCGAGTTATTACTACCCACGCTTATCGGATTATCATGAACTCTTCACTAAGAGATCGTAGTATTTCTATTATTCATTTATGCATAAAAAAATAGCAAAGTAAATATCCGTGATTTTCATAAAATCTTGAATAATGACGAATTGAATATCATTCATTATTTGCGATTTTGTCGTTGTCCACATTGAAGAATAAACACTGTCGATTAAAATTTATTTGCCAGCACGTTTAATTAATTCGAAAATTTAATCGTCTATCATAAATCGTTATTTGTTGTATTGATCGTCGAAAGAGACGAGGTGGGATGAAATAAATCGGAATATTTGATAAGGAAAAGGAAAATAAAAAAAAAAAAAATACCGTCGTGTTTACTTAGATTTAAAATTCATTAATATTTAAAAGATTTTATAATAGCCCAATGGAATTTTCATTAATAAATTATATTTGTTTAATAAAAAAGTGATTAATAATATGAGTTTCTTATTTTTGGAAATTCTTACAGGAAATTCTTAATGAGCGGTTAAATAGAAGAGTCGACGCCATGATGCAAGATGGTCTGATCAACGAGTTACTTGAATTTCATCGTAAATACAACGAAGATAGGATTAAGACCAATTTGTGAGTATACGAATTAATAAAATATAACAATTCATATTGAATGATAGGTAATAAACAACGAAGAGATTCTTCTTCATTTTATAATTCGGAAATTAGCAAATTATTTTAAGATTTTTTCATAATATTTATGAACATCTATAGACAATATATATAAAGCATATCTCTCGCTCACGTACTCACACACATACAAACACGTTAAAAATTGTTAACGTTTATACATAAAAATATATATTATGAAAAGTTTTTTTTTCCAATTGCTCGTCGATACGTTTAGTATTAGATACTTGAACAAATTCCTTTCATAATAATTATTTTTGAAGAATAGCAACGGTTAGAATGGACTGCGGTAGAGAAGAGGCTCTTTTAAAGGCCTTCGAGTGTGTCGGGACTTAATTATCGTTCGTGCGCGGTCGAATAACCTCGGTCACGATAACATGCCCGCATATGCGAATGATTTCTTTGATCGAACCGGTCATGCCAGTTGGTGCATCGTTAAGACACGTGCTCTTTTTTTCCAACTTTTAGTATAGTCACACATACATGTCTACATTATATATTATATATACGACAGACAAAATTTTAAAAAGTTGCGGAAAAGGATTAAAGACAGGATTCCTTGAAACGCTACGTTAATGTACTCCTTCTTTTTAACGACAAACACATTTTGTTACTTGGAAGCGAGATTAAGAAGTTGAAATGACATTAGATTATTCTTAATATTGCTAATCCAAGAAGACTCGTTTCATTCTCCAATTTTATTTCATACGAAAAATACGGTGAGATCAAATTTACTTCATATGTTTTAGATTTAAAAATTGTTATCGTATTATAAATATATTTTCTTTTTTTAAATTTTAAAGAGCGTACAGGTATTTAATTATACATTTTTATGGACTTGGAAAAAAATCGTTTCGAAATTCGATGATAGCAATTATGAGTTTCGCGGTGATATTTCTATCAAAAACCCAATAAATTCTAAATAACCTGTTACGATGCCAATATGAAGCTTTTAAAAGGACCCGGTGTGTTCGACCGTTCTAACGACACTCGTTAACTATTATTAACATTTTAGAAAGTTGACAGCGTGTATCTATTTTACAAGCCATGTTTGTGCGTTACATTCTAACGCATGTTACGAGAAAACTTCAGCTTCCTATACGTCCATTAAACTTTTTTCGTATTTTTTCTTTTTTTCGTTCAATACACCGTGTGCTCGCTAAATATGATAAATCGATATATACGGAAGTTACTAAAAATAGTTATTTTAATACTACTGTTATTTAATTATTTACTTTCTATCATATTATAAATGCAAAAATTTTTCAATGTTTTCCCTTATTGTGCAATAAATTATAAATCTATACAATATTAATCATACCTTAAAAAAAAACCTACTATGTAATTTTATGTTATTTAATATTACATTTGATTACATAATTATTACTTAAATTATTTTAATTCCAATTGGGGTGTAATTTTTGTAAATATTTTTAATGAAATCTATCTAGTGTGTGTAGATATTTCAATAGAATTAATCTTTTGATCTATCAATTATTAATAACTTTGATTTTCGATATAGATGATAATCGAATAAGTCGTACTCCAGTGGGTGAGGCCATTTTCCTTCTCTCTCTCTCTCTCTCTCTCTTATTCTGTATTGCACGTATACAGGTATTACATACGCCTTCGTTTATGAGGCATGTTGCACGATCGAAAAGTTATTCGGAGGCGTGGGAGTTGGTGGAGGCGCGCTCGTGCAAATCATTTCTTCGAAGTCACGAGAGCGTGCCACTTGGCGTACCGACGAGGGGAGCACGTGAGCTGCGATTTGTATACGACCGACGTTAGTGCTGCTTCGTGAATGGAGAAAGAAAAAGAGAGAGAAAGAAAGACGGAGACTCCTCACCTTACTCGTTTCCGGAAATTGCGAGCGTACGCTAGCAACCGGATGTCGGACAGAAAATAAAGGAGGTAGGCGTTCGCAAAGAATGGCTACTATTACTACTGCTTATACTACTACTACTACTACTATGACTACTACTACTACTACTACTACTACTACTACTGCTACTACTATTAAAACACTTTTTCAATATTATGTGTAAAACTTATACGAGTTTTGTTAATGGAGAGATACGAGAGAGATGAAACAATTCATTGATTCTCCTTTATCTATTTATCAATGATATTCATTGTTCATTTAAGTTATTTACCTTATTATATTTATTTATTATGAAATATACACTTGCAGTACTGTATTTAAAAATATTTGATAGTTTTAGTTTGAAATTTTTATTTTATTTTATATTATTCTATGTAGTCAACGGCCTAGCTACGTAGGATTATTAGTTTCCGGTCGATCATTTAAAATTAAGTAACGTAGGCACGGTAGTAAGATGGATGAGTCACAAAATAATCTCTCTTTAGAGATTAAAATTGTTTATATAAAAAAAAAAAAAAGATGGATGAGTGACCCGTCCGGAGAAACAAAAGACAAAAACCGTGTGCCGTTAATTCCAGAAAGGTGGTAAAAAGCGACCTTTTTGATAGTATTGAATAGGCGTTAATAGAAAAGTGATTCTCATTCATAAAAAGGAGAGTAAAAAGACAAGAATATGTTATTCTACATAATTTTTGATTTTCTTTTATATTCTCGTTTTTATTCATTAATCGAGTCGCGATTTTTGAAACGTTTCTTGTGAATATTTTCTTCCAAAGTATAATAGATCAATAATTTGTTTATATCTTGCGTTAGATAGAATCTAATGAAAATGTAATTCCACCTATAAGACATTTTTACTCTATTAACATAATTTGTTCGGGAAATAGAATGAGATAAAAAGTGAGAAAGAGAAAGAACAAATAAAAAAGGTAATTTGAATAAAGAAATATAGGAAATATACTCGACTCGTGCTTGGCCTCGTAAACAATCAAGGTGTAACACTGGAAATATCTCTCAATAATATTTATTTTACCCTTTGCGTTGTTGGCTCGCTTAGAAAATCGTTTGTATTATGAGAAATTTATTGCACTCGTTTTCTGCATACTCGCTGCAAAGAAAATTTCTTTTACGTCGTTTTGTACCGGACACCTTTTCTTTTTTTTTTCTCCTTTGTTTGTTAGCAGATACAAGTGGTTGATAAAAATTAAATTAACAAGCGCGCTCGCGCACCCATTTTATATGGTTGTATATAGATATACTTGTGTCTATACACTAACACAATAAGAGATATTCGCACGATACCGTCTACATGGCGTTTCCGAGAAATTAAACTTCTCTTAACGAGTTAGAATTACTTTATTTTCTATTGTTCTTCAGAGATTGTTCAAAAAAAATGAAATTTACGTCAAGGGGTATTATTGTTTATATAATCATACTGAAAGATATTTTTTTTTTTAAATACTTTTCATTGTCAAATTTCATCGTAAAATTACTATCGGTAATAACGAGCTAAATTAATATTTACGTTAGTGAAAAATGTTCTGTAAAAATACATCCAGGTTGCTTTCTATTTAATTTAAAGGAAATTACAAACTTATTATCTTCTTTCTATTTATAAAGATATTTAAAATATGCCTTATACTATGTGCATTTCGTAGTTATTCAAAGATTTAAGTGAAATATGTCAATATTTAAATTATTTATAATATTAGAACATTTTTATATTTGAAAACTTATTTCTGTTACTTATTATAAAGATAAAAAATTGATTCGTTTATTTACGATTGAGAAATGTAAGGAAAGATCGGTGTTCTGGTAGCATGGTGTTCACACCGCGTCATCGAATTCCACGAGAATCAGATAACAACGCGAAACGTCTCACTTGTCGTTCCTACAATTTTTCGTGAACCTTGCAGCACGAGTGAAGTACCTACTAACGAATACCAAGAAGATACTTCTACGAAAAATATACGATTTTTCATTCCTTAAACGATGCTTTTCTCACTTTGTGAGTGGAAAGGAAGAACAATGTCTACATTGTGTTTGAACTTCCACATTTAGCTTTACATCGTCTTGCTATTCAACAGCTCGTTGATTCATCACACACAAGTTAACATTGTATGAATCAATACGAATGTTAAATATTTATTATCTTTTCTTTTCATTTTTCATAAAAGTCAAATAACGTATAAAATCAATCAGTATATGCGCTTTAATAAAATCGTAACTTTTGACACACAAATTCGTTGACAAATCTAATATATGTACATATTTGTAATAAAATTAGTAAAGTCAAATATCCACATGACATGTTTTGAATTGGTAACTTCTCCGATAATAAGAGCTACATATAATACTTTTCATACATTTTTGAATGCTTCAGAGTCACATGAAATATAACCGTAAAGTCACTTCAAATAGCAGTTTAAAAATACAATATTTTGGGTTGACATAGTTACATATGTCATACATGTATTAATTCATGAATCGAAGATTCTATTTTTAAAATTATCATCCTATTTATTTCTGAAAATAAAAAGAAAAGTATACGATCCCACTGATCGGCCAAAGGTCATACAAAAATTCTACATTCTCTCTTGAGTTTTCTTATCTCGCAGATAAAAGTAAGATCTATTTTTATGGTTAAATCTCCGATAAAACTCACGAATTGTTGGAGCAAATCTGTGTATGACTCTGTTTTGAATGCGATTAGTAACACAAGGAGTGTTCTAGTTGGCAATGTCCGATCCATTCTGAGGAAACGAAGAATCAACTTAAGTAGATCTAATGTTTAACATTAAGTGAATTATGAATAGCCTTTAGTAGGTTATTGTGATAGATATCGAGTTTGATTTAATGCAATACCTTACGTTATAAGAATAAAAGAAAAAAAAAAAGGAAAAGGAAAACAAAGTATAATCATCGATAACCGATCAGAAAGATCTAGGCCAACTATTTTTATTATTCTCTTATTTTCTATTCTTTTTTTTCTTCTTTACGTTCTCACTGTTCATTCAGAGTACCGAATGAGACTCTTTGTTATTAGGCAAGCAATAAT